GGAGGGGAGAGGAAGGGGAGAAGAGAAGAGAAGAGAAGAGAAGAGAAGAGAAGAGAAGAGAAGAGAAGAGAAGAGAAGAGCATACACTGGGACTTCCTTGGACGTATTTGATCATATTTAATCATATTTAATCCAGAAAAGTTCCAGTGGAGTTGGGCCTGGTGGCAAACAGTTACACTCAAGTACAACTGACATCTTTGAATCTGGTTATTCATTGCAGGGCCAGGATAATCCAAGTCCACAGAAAGGTCAAGGAACCCAACGAATGAAACACATTCTTGACCATCAGGAGGACTCGGCGCCCAGCCATTTGCAGGCTCTGGCTTGGAGGCCATAGCCACTGGAACTTGTGTTCAGATACTTGCAGCAATTTTGTAATTTGGAATAATATCTCTGGGCCTCTGCAGATATCTGTCTCGTTGCTTTGCTGTGTGAGTGCGGTGTGAATTTACGGGACTTGCATGATTGCGACTTCCAAGTCAAATTGAGTCAGATTATTGCATTTCTTTCTTGTCTAGTTTCTTCTTCCAATCTTTTCATTTGAGTTGCAATGGAATGACATTGTCTCTTTGTGAGCTTTTGCATTGGAAGTAGTCCAAGGATGATAGTACATAGCTCATTGCGAAAACAATGGAGATTTAGCACACTTACCAGCGAGACGACCCACCAACACAGACTGCAGTACTGATTGCCATGCACCTCTGTCCAGCCGCTCCAAAAGCCGCACCAACCAACGCATTCATCGTAGTCTCCGGGTTTGCATCTGGCATCACAACAGCATGGTTCTTCGCGCCCATGTTGCACTGCAAAGAGTAGGTGGTACATGATGATTCAGCCTTCAGGAGATCACTGGTTAATTAATGGCCTATGCAAAGCTCACATAGAAGCAATGCCGTTGCTCATCAGTTCCCAGGTGGGGAGAGCTGAAGAAGCTGAACAGACTCAACAACAGCCTTATACCACCACGCCATCCGGAGCTGACCTGGTCGGCCATGCCAAATAAAACCCGGTATTGTATTGGTTTCTGGCAGTCCGAGAACGGAAAATCCAGGCCTACTGCAGTCACTGTTTTTTGGGAAAACCGAGACCCTTCTACGTATTGGTGATTTACGGGGTAATTTTACATTGTTTGGTCACTAAAGAGTGGTAATGCAACGATGGATTTTTTGGAGCCCTGGAAGGCATTGCACTTCACATTTCCAGTTGTGCTTTAGTTCCCAACATCGCACCCAAAACAGGGCTACTGATTCAAGTATGTGCTCCGATAACATTGTCATTCCATGTCCACATGCGAAAATTGTTCGTCGATGACTTTTTGGTAATTCATCAACATGTCCGAAAAAGAAAAGCAGAACGTGTAGGTCGCAAATAAACAAAGTGCATGAAGAAGAGCAGGAGTGCAAATGGTGGTGACTCCACAAGGACGAAATCGAAAGATTGAGAAACTTGGGAACTGTCCTTTAAACCACCACTACCTCCGATCCTGTTTTTGCCAACCTGACTTTCACAGCGCACCGAGTTTTACCGAGCCGGGGCAGTTTCAGCCAAGAAGGAACAAGGGGGAAAAAAAAACAAGAAAAAGAAAAAAAATGAACATCCCGAACGCCTCAATAACGGCCAGATACATTCTATGAGGTGCTCGTGTGATTGTGCCCTCAGTGAGGGCGTGTAGGGAACACACAAAGGAAAAGAAAACAAAACAAAAAAAAAGCTCGCTTATGCTGCGATTGAGGGCGGATACAGATGCTACAGCATTGAGACAGTTGTGTGTCACCCCTGAAATATGCCCTGCCACAACTGTCTCACCCCTGAAATATGCCCTGCCTGGATGGCAGGGCACTAAAACGACATGGGAACAAAATCAAAACAAAACAAAAAAGCAAACCCCTTCCCCACATAGTGGCCAGATACATTCATCAAAGGCCTCTACAACTTCCACCCTCGTGAGGGCCTTCCCCCACGTCCCTGGATTTGAAACTTTCGTTTTTTTTCTTTTTTTTTCGTTCTTTCTTCTTTTTTATTTCATCGGCCTCCAACCCTGCCCTGAGCCCCGTGTTTCAAGAAGTAGGCTACTAGATGGACTTCGCGTTTCCCTGTGAAAGGTAGTGGTGGTTTGAGGAGAGAAAAAAAACAAAACAAAAAAAGGGCGACAGCCTGGAGATATCATCATTGAACTGACCGCCCCTAGGTAATTCAGAAGTACATTTATTCGCTAATGTGACTGCATCTGGATTTGAACTTGGGTCTGTAATTCAACAGTTCATGGGTGTACTGACTGAGCTAGGCCAGTTGGTACAAATTTTCCTATTTTATTTTCTACTTCTTACAAAGAAGATTGGGGAGGAGGAGGGCATATCCAGAAAAGACATAGCTCCTCCTGTGTCTCAACTGCGTTTGCTCATATTGATTCACTCATGGATGGCCACGTTCGCTTGCGAATGTTCGATGCACCGGGCCAACCAAGCATTCTCACCTCTAAGGGAGCCGCATTCGCTCACGTGTCTTAGCTCCATTCACTGCAACCTCAGAGCTCACCTAGGGGCTCTTTCTCTCCTTCTCGCTCTCTTTATCTGCATGTGTTTGTGTGGAGATAGATAGATAGATCGATAGATAGATAGATAGATAGATAGATAGATAGATAGATAGATAGATAGATAGAGAGAGAGAGAGAGAGAGAGAGAGAGAGAG